CTACGACGAGACGTTCGCGCCGGTGGGCAGCTACGTCACGCTGAGGATCTTCCTCAGTATCGTTGCCGTCCGCAACCTCAACCTGATGCAGCTCGACATGAAGAACGCCTTCTTGCAGAGCAAGCTCGACAGGGTGCTCTACATGTCCCAGCCAGACTACTTCAACGACGGGATCGGCCGGGTGTGCAAGCTGCTGAAGAGCCTGTACGGGCTAAAGCAGTCGCCGCTGCTGTGGTACTTGGCGCTCAATGACGTGCTGGTCGGCGCCGGGTGGAAGAAGAGCCAGGTCGACAAGGCTCTCTACTGCAAGGTCGGAGAGGACGGAGTGGCCTGCTGGGTGCTGGTCTACGTCGACGACCTACTTGCCGCCAGCAGTAGCACCGCGATGTTGAAGGAGCTGAAGGAGCTGCTGGAAGCCACCTTCGAGCTGCGTGAGATCTCGCCGGTGCAGAAGTACCTCGGGCTGGAGATCGTCCGCGACAGGTCAGCGGGGAAGCTGTGGCTGCACCAGCAGGGCTACGCCGATAAGCTGCGTAGGCGCTTCATCGACGAGGAGCAGACCGGGCGCACCCCGAAGACGCCGGTCTCTGTCGCCGCCTACGCTGAGCTCACGTTCGATGATGAGGAGGCACAGGAGCGGCAAGAGGAGGAGTACCGGCAGAAGGTCGGCTCGCTGCAGTTCGCGGCGACGACGACGAGGCCGGACATCGCCTTCGCCTGCAGCAAGCTGGGAAGCGGTCTCACGGTGAGGAGCGACCAGCACTGGCGTGAGGTCGACCGCTGCCTCGTCTACCTCGCCAATACGCGTGACACCGCCCTGGAGTTCGGCGGTGGACCTGAGTCGCTGGACCTGGTCGGCTACGTGGACGCCGACGACGCCGGTGACAAGCAGAACAGGACGAGCACGAGTGGCTACGTGTTCGTCTATGGAGGGGCTGCAGTCTCCTGGTCGAGCCAGCGCATCAAGTGTGCGACGTTGTCGTCGACTGAGTTGGAGTACGTGGCAGCCACCGAAGCCGGCAAGGAAGGACGTCGACTTTGTTTCCTCCTTGCAGGGTTCCGGCAGCTGGATGCCGGGAAGCCGACCGTCCTTCGGGTGGACAACAAGTCGGCTATCTCAGTCGCCGAGGGCATGGGGTTGACGGGCAACCTCAAGCACATGGAGCGGCGACAGGCCTGGCTGCAGCACATGGTGAAGCGCGGGAAGTTCTCGTTGAGGTACATCCCAACCACTGAGCAGCCGGCCGACTTCCTGACGAAGGCGCTGCACTATCCGGCCTTCAACCGGTGCTCCGTCGCAATCGGCCAGGTGCGCTTGGCCGACGTGGGCGACGGCGACAACGACGTGCAGCAGTAGGTGCCATGCCCTCTTGCATGGCTGGTGCGGTGGACGACGTGCGGTGTGTTGGGTGCACGTCGACGAGCTATTCTCCGAGGAGTACTGCCGAGTGGACTTGAGGGGGACCAAGCGTGAACGCGGTAGGGGAGTGTCAACGGGAGTTGTATGTTGGCCCCGTCCACGCTTGGGCGGAGCCGACATCGTGGTCGGGTGTTAGGGGAGCAGCCGACCTGCAGCAGTGGGCGAGCTGGTCGACGAGGAGGTCGACCTGCACGGGGACCACTGCACGGGCGCCGACTTCGGGGTGGCGCCAACTTCGGGGAGGTCGACTTAAGCGTCGACCTGCGGAGGACGTCAACTTGGGAAGCCGACTTTGGTGGTCGGCTGATGTGCTGGTCGACCTGCGGGTGGTTGACTGGACCGGTGGTCGACGAAGGAGGGGTCGACGTCGAGTAGCAGGACGTCGAGCAGTCAGGACGTCGAGCAGTCGGGCGTCGAGCAGTCGGGCGTCGAGTGACATGGTCGTCGACCGAGGGGCATGGTCGACCCGGTGAGGTCGACAACGAGGTGGTCGTCGACTTGGGAGGTCGACGGACACGTACGGGAGTTGCTGGTCGATGTGGTTGCCCGGTCGACCAGGTTACCTGGGTGACGAAGTGCTGCGGAGGAGTGCGACGGTCGCCCAGGCGAAGCTGGCGAGACCGACCTTGGTGGTGGTATCACGAGGTCGTCGTGGCAGATCAGAGGTAGCCGTCAGCCCGAGGCTGACGTGGTGTGTGTGTGCTGTGCAGGTGATGAGGCTCGGCATACCAATCATCTGCACGCACCTGCAAAGCGGGTGCACTGCTGGCACACCGTCGACCTGAAGCATTGGCAAGCTGTCGACTTTGCTCTGCTGGAGCGCGGTCGACCAAGTCGTGTTGGAATGCGGTCGACCATGCTGTGCTGGCAGTTGACCAACCTGAATGCTAGCTCTGATGTAGTCTTGCATTGCCAACTTCATTGTACCATTGTTGTGATCTTTTCTTAGTGAAACTCTTGCCAAATTGCCCCGTGAACTAGCAAGCAGTGTTAGCAATAGGAAAACGTCTAAGGACCAACGAACGCAGAGATCACACGAGCACACGTGCCTAGCCAGTAGTCTAGCTCCCGTTGTAGTAGTTATCTCCGAAGCAAGCTCCTGGACCAGGCAAGCTCCTCGACCAGGCAAACTCTTGGACCAGGCAAGCTCCTGGACCACCCAAGCTTCTTGACCAGGCAAACTCGTGGACCAGGCACGCTCCTGGACCAGGCAAGCTCCTGGAATAGGCAAGCCCCTAGACCAGGCAAGCTCCTGGACCAGGCAAGCTCTTGGACCACGCAAGCTCTTGGACCAGGCAAGCTCTTGGACCAGGCAAGCTAGTGGACTAGGCAAGCTTCTGGACCAGGCAAGCTCCTGGACCAGGCAAGCTCTTGGACTAGGCAAGCTCCTAGACCAGGCAAGCTTCTAGACCAGGCAAACTCGTGGACCAGGCACGCTCCTGGACCAGACAAGCTCCTGGACCAAGCAAGCTCCTGGACCAGGCAAGCTCTTGGACCAAGCAAGCTCCTGGACCAGGCAAGCTTCTGGACCAGGCAAACTCGTGGACCAGGCACGCTCCTGAACCACGCAAGTTCCTGGACTAGGCAAGCTCCTAGACCAGGCAAGCACCTGGACCAGTCAAGCTCCAGGACCACGCAAGCTCTTGGACCACGCAAGCTCTTGGACCACGCAAGCTCTTGGAGAAGGCAAGCTCTTGGACCAGGCAAGCTAGTGGACTAGGCAAGCTTCTGGACCAGGCAAGCTCCTGGACCAGGCAAGCTCTTGGACTAGGCAAGCTCCTGGACCAGGCAAGCTTCTAGACCAGGCAAACTCGTGGACCAGGCACGCTCCTGGACCAGACAAGCTCCTGGACCAAGCAAGCTCCTGGACCAGGCAAGCTCTTGGACCAAGCAAGCTCCTGGACCAGGCAAGCTTCTGGACCAGGCAAACTCGTGGAGCAGGCACGCTCCTGAACCACGCAAGTTCCTGGACTAGGCAAGCTCCTAGACCAGGCAAGCACCTGGACCAGTCAAGCTCCAGGACCACGCAAGCTCTTGGACCACGCAAGCTCTTGGACCACGCAAGCTCTTGGACCAGGCAAGCTCTTGGACCAGGCAAGCTAGTGGACTAGGCAAGCTTCTGGACCAGGCAAGCTCCTGGACCAGGCAAGCTCTTGGACTAGGCAAGCTCCTGGACCAGGCAAGCTTCTAGACCAGGCAAACTCGTGGACCAGGCACGCTCCTGGACCAGACAAGCTCCTGGACCAAGCAAGCTCCTGGACCAGGCAAGCTCTTGGACCAAGCAAGCTCCTGGACCAGGCAAGCTTCTGGACCAGGCAAACTCGTGGACCAGGCACGCTCCTGAACCACGCAAGTTCCTGGACTAGGCAAGCTCCTAGACCAGGCAAGCACCTGGACCAGTCAAGCTCCAGGACCACGCAAGCTCTTGGACCACGCAAGCTCTTGGACCAGGCAAGCTCCTGGACCAGGCAAGCTCATGAACCAGGCACGCTCCTAGACTAGGCAAAGCTCCTAGACCAGGCAAGCTCCTAGACTAGGCAAGCTCTTGGACTAGGCACGCTCCTAGACCAGGCAAGCTCTTGGATCAGGCAGGCTTCTGGACAAAGCAAGCTCCTGGACTAGGCACACTCCTGGACCGGGCACGCTCCTGGACCAGGCAAGCTCCTAGACCAGGCAAGCTCCTGAACCAAGCAAGCTCCTAGACCAGACACGCTCGTGAACGAGGCATGCTCCTGAACCAAGCAAGCTCCTAGACCAAGCACGCTCCTGGACCAGGCAAGCTCCTGGACAAGGCAAGCTCCGGGACCACGCATGCTCTTGTACCAGGCACGCTCCTAGACCAGGCAAGCTCTTGCACCATGCACGCTTCTGGACCAAGCAAGCTCCTGGACTAGGCAAGCTCCTGGACCAGGCACACTCTAGGACCAGGCAAGCTCCTGGACCAGGCAAGCTCCTGAACAAGGCATGCTCCTGGATCAAGCAAGCTCCTTGACCAGGCAAGCTCCTGGACCAGGCAAGCTCATGGACCAGGCAAGCTCCTGGACCAGGCACGCTCGTGGACTAGGCACGCTCTTAGACCACGCAAGCGCTTGGACCAGGCAGGCTCGTGTACCAGGCACGCTCAGGGACCAGGCAAGCTCCTGGACAAGGCAAGCTCCTGGACCAGGAAGCTCCTGGACCAGGCACGCTCGTGGACCAGGCACGCTCCCGAACAAGGCAAGCTCCAGGACCACGCAAGCTCTTGGACCAGGCATGCTCCTGGACGAGGCAAGCTCTTGGACCAGGCAAGCTTGTGGACCAAGCAAGCTCCTGGACCAGGCAAGCTCTTGGACCTGGCAAGCTCTTGGACCAGGCAAGCTCCTGGACCAGGCAAGCTCCTGGACCAGGCACGCTCGTGGACGAGGCACGTTCCTGGACCAGGCAAGCTCTTGGACCAGGCAGGCTCGTGGACCAGGCAAGCTCTTGGACCAGGCAAGCTCCAGATCAGGCAAGCTCCTAGACCAGGCAAGCTCCCGGACCAGGCACGTTCCTGGACCAGGCAAGCTCCTGGACCAGGCACGTTCCTGGACCAGGCAAGTTCCTAGACCAGGCAAGCTCCTGGACCAGGCACGTTCATGGACCAGGCAAGCTCCTGGACCAGGCACGTTCCTGGACCAGGCAAGTTCCTGGACCAGGCAAGCTCCATATCAGGCAAGCTCCTAGACCAGGCAAGCTCCTGGACCAGGCACGGTCGTGGACCAGGCACGCTCCTGTCCAGGTCCACGTCCACGACCATGTCCACGTCCACGTTCACGTCCACGTCCACGACCATGTCCACTTCCACGTGCACGTGTACGTCCACGTCCATGTCCACGTCCACGTCCACGTTCACGTCCACGTCCATGACCACGTCTTTGCCACGTTCACGTCCACGTCCACGACCATGTCCACGTCCACGTTCACGTCCACGTCCACGTCCACGTCCACGTCCACGTCCACGTCCACGTCCACGTCCACGACCATGTCCACGTCCACGTCCACGTCCACGTCCACGTCCACATCCATGTCCACGTCCAAGTCCTCCACGTCCACGACCACGTCCACGTCCACGTCAACCTCCACGTCCACGACCACGCCCACGTCCACGTCCACGTCCACGTCCTCCATGTCCACGTCCACGTCCTCCACATCCACGTCCTCCACGTCCACGTCCACGTCCACGTCCACGTCTACGACCACGACCACATCCACGTCCATGTCGACATCCACGTCCATGTCCACGTCCACCTCCACGTCCACGTCCACGTCCACGTCCACGTCCACGTCCACGTCCACGTCCATGTCCACGTCCACGACCACGTCCACGACCACGACCGCGTCCACGTCAAGGTCCACGACCATGTCTACGTCCATGTCCACGTCCACGACCATGTCCACGTCCACGTCCACGTTCACGTCCACGTCCACGTATCAATGTTCACGTCCACGTCCACGTCCACGGCCGCGTCCACGTCCATGTCCACGTCCACGACCACGTCCACGTCCGCGTCCACGTTCACGTCCACGTTCACGTTCACGTCCACGTGCACGTCCACGTCCACGTTCACGTTCACGTCCACGTTCACGTCCACGTCCACGTCCACGTTCACGTCCACGTCCACGTTCACGTTCACGTTCACGTTCACGTTCACGTCCACGTCCACGTCCACGTTCACGTTCACGTCCACGTCCACGTGCACGTCCACGTCCACGTCCACGTCCACGTCCACGTCCACGTCCACGTCCACGTCCACGTCCACGACCACGTCCACGTCCACGTCCACGACCACGTCCACGTCCACGTCCACGTATCAATGTTCACGTCCACGTCCACGTCCACAACCACGTCCACGACCACGTCAACGCCCACGTCCACGTCCACGTCCACGTCCACGTCCACGCCCACGTCCACGCCCACGTCCACGTCCACGTCCACGTCCACGTCCATGTCCACGACCACGTCCACGTCCACGTCCACGTCCACGTCCACGTCCATGTCCACGTCCTCGTCCACGTCAACGTCCACGTCCACGTCCATGTCCACGTCCACGACCACGTCCACGACCACGACCACGTCCACGTCAAGGTCCACGACCATGTCTACGTCCACGTCCACGTCCACGACCATGTCCACGTCCACGTCCACGTCCACGTCCACGTATCAATGTTCACGTCGACGTCCACGTCCACGTCCGCGTCCACGTCCACGTCCATGTCCACGACCACGTCCACGTCCACGTCCACGTTCACGTCCTCGTTCACGTTCACGTCCACGTGCACGTCCACGTCCACGTTCACGTTCACGTCCACGTTCACGTCCACGTCCACGTTCACGTCCACGTTCACGTTCACGTTCACGTCCACGTTCACGTTCACGTCCACGTTCACGTCCACGTCCACGTTCACGTCCACGTCCACGTTCACGTTCACGTCCACGTGCACGTCCACGTCCACGACCACGTCCACGTCCACGTCCACGTCCACGACCACGTCCACGTCCGCGTCCACGTATCAATGTTCACGTCCACGTCCACGTCCCCGTCCACGTTCACGTCCACGTCCACGTCCACGTCCACGTCCACGTCCGCGTCCACGTCCGCGTCCACGTCCGCGTCCACGTCCCCGTCCACGTCCGCGTCCACGTCAGTCCACGTCCAAGTCCTCCACGTCCAAGTCCTCCACGTCCACGACCACGTCCACGTCCACGTCCACGACCACGTCCACGACCACGTCCACGTCCACGACCACGTCCACGACCACGTCCACGTCCACGACCACGTCCACGACCACGTCCACGTCCACGTCCACGTCCATGTCCACGTCCACGTCCAAGTCCTCCACGTCCAAGTCCTCCACGTCCACGACCACGTCCATGACCACGTCCACGTCCACGTCCACGTCCACATGCACGTCCACATCCACGTCCACGTGCACGTCCACGTGCACGTCCACGTCCGAGGCTAACGTGGTGTGTGTGTGCTGTGCAGGTGATGAGGCTCGGCATACCAATCATCTGCACGCACCTGCAAAGCGGGTGCACTGCTGGCACACTGTCGACCTGAAGCATTGGCAAGCTGTCGACTTTGCTCTGCTGGAGCGCGGTCGACCAAGTCGTGTTGGAATGCGGTTGACCATGTTGTGCTGGCAGTTGACCAACCTGAATGCTAGCTCTGATGTAGTCTTGCATTGCCAACTTCATTGTACCATTGTTGTGATCTTTTCTTAGTGAAACTCTTGCCAAATTGCCCCGTGAACTAGCAAGCAGTGTTAGCAATAGGAAAACGTCTAAGGACCAACGAACGCAGAGATCACACGAGCACACGTGCCTAGCCAGTAGTCTAGCTCCCGTTGTAGTAGTTATCTCCGAAGCAAGCTCCTGGACCAGGCAAGCTCCTCGACCAGGCAAACTCTTGGACCAGGCAAGCTCCTGGACCACCCAAGCTTCTTGACCAGGCAAACTCGTGGACCAGGCACGCTCCTGGACCAGGCAAGCTCCTGGAATAGGCAAGCCCCTAGACCAGGCAAGCTCCTGGACCAGGCAAGCTCTTGGACCACGCAAGCTCTTGGACCAGGCAAGCTCTTGGACCAGGCAAGCTAGTGGACTAGGCAAGCTTCTGGACCAGGCAAGCTCCTGGACCAGGCAAGCTCTTGGACTAGGCAAGCTCCTGGACCAGGCAAGCTTCTAGACCAGGCAAACTCGTGGACCAGGCACGCTCCTGGACCAGACAAGCTCCTGGACCAAGCAAGCTCCTGGACCAGGCAAGCTCTTGGACCAAGCAAGCTCCTGGACCAGGCAAGCTTCTGGACCAGGCAAACTCGTGGACCAGGCACGCTCCTGAACCACGCAAGTTCCTGGACTAGGCAAGCTCCTAGACCAGGCAAGCACCTGGACCAGTCAAGCTCCAGGACCACGCAAGCTCTTGGACCACGCAAGCTCTTGGACCAGGCAAGCTCCTGGACCAGGCAAGCTCATGAACCAGGCACGCTCCTAGACTAGGCAAAGCTCCTGGACCAGGCAAGCTCCTAGACTAGGCAAGCTCTTGGACTAGGCACGCTCCTAGACCAGGCAAGCTCTTGGATCAGGCAGGCATCTGGACAAAGCAAGCTCCTGGACTAGGCACACTCCTGGACCGGGCACGCTCCTGGACCAGGCAAGCTCCTAGACCACGCAAGCTCCTGAACCAAGCAAGCTCCTAGACCAGGCACGCTCGTGGACGAGGCATGCTCCTGAACCAAGCAAGCTCCTAGACCAAGCACGCTCCTGGACCAGGCAAGCTCCTGGACAAGGCAAGCTCCGGGACCACGCATGCTCTTGTACCAGGCACGCTCCTAGACCAGGCAAACTCTTGCACCATGCACGCTTCTGGACCAAGCAAGCTCCTGGACTAGGCAAGCTCCTGGACCAGGCACGCTCTAGGACCAGGCAAGCTCCTGGACCAGGCAAGCTCCTGAACCAGGCATGCTCCTGGATCAAGCAAGCTCCTGGACCAGGCAAGCTCCTGGACCAGGCAAGCTCATGGACCAGGCAAGCTCCTGGACCAGGCACGCTCGTGGACTAGGCACGCTCTTAGACCACGCAAGCTCTTGGACCAGGCAGGCTCGTGGACCACGCACGCTCAGAGACCAGGCAAGCTCCTGGACAAGGCAAGCTCCTGGACCAGGAAGCTCCTGGACCAGGCACGCTCGTGGACCAGGCACGCTCCCGAACAAGGCAAGCTCTAGGACCACGCAAGCTCTTGGACCAGGCATGCTCCTGGACGAGGCAAGCTCTTGGACCAGGCAAGCTTGTGGACCAAGCAAGCTCCTGAACCAGGCAAGCTCATGGACCACGCAAGCTCCTGGACCAGGCAAGCTCTTGGACCTGGCAAGCTCTTGGACCAGGCAAGCTCCTGGACCAGGCAAGCTCCTGGACCAGGCACGCTCGTGGACGAGGCACGTTCCTGGACCAGGCAAGCTCTTGGACCAGGCAGGCTCGTGGACCAGGCAAGCTCTTGGACAAGGCAAGCTCCAGATCAGGCAAGCTCCTAGACCAGGCAAGCTCCTGGACCAGGCACGTTCCTGGACCAGGCAAGCTCCTGGACCAGGCACGTTCCTGGACCAGGCAAGTTCCTAGACCAGGCAAGCTCCTAGACCAGGCACGTTCATGGACCAGGCAAGCTCCTGGACCAGGCACGTTCCTGGACCAGGCAAGTTCCTGGACTAGGCAAGCTCCATATCAGGCAAGCTCCTAGACCAGGCAAGCTCCTGGACCAGGCACGGTCGTGGACGAGGCACGAACCTGTCCAAGTCCACGTCCACGACCATGTCCACGTCCACGTCCACGTTCACGTCCACGTCCACGACCATGTCCACTTCCACGTGCACGTGTACGTCCACGTCCATGTCCACGTCCACGTCCACGTTCACGTCCACGTCCATGTCCACGTCTTTGCCACGTTCACGTCCACGTCCACGACCATGTCCACGTCCACGTTCACGTCCACGTCCACGTCCACGTCCACGTCCATGTCCACGTCCACGTCCACGTCCACGACCATGTCCACGTCCACGTCCACGTCCACGTCCACATCCATGTCCACGTCCAAGTCCTCCACGTCCACGACCACGTCCACGTCCACGTCAACCTCCACGTCCACGACCACGTCCACGTCCACGTCCACGTCCACGTCCTCCACGTCCACGTCCACGTCCTCCACATCCACGTCCTCCACGTCCACGTCCACGTCCTCCACATCCACGTCCTCCACGTCCACGTCCACGTCCACGTCCACGTCCACGTCTACGACCACGACCACATCCACGTCCATGTCCACATCCACGTCCACGTCCACGTCCACGTCCACGTCCACGTCCACGTCCATGTCCACGTCCACGTCCACGTCCACGTCCACGACCACGTCCACGTCAAGGTCCACGACCATGTCTACGTCCATCTCCACGTCCACGACCATGTCCACGTCCACGTCCACGTTCACGTCCACGTCCACGTATCAATGTTCACGTCCACGTCCACGTCCACGTCCGCGTCCACGTCCATGTCCACGTCCACGACCACGTCCACGTCCGCGTCCACGTTCACGTCCACGTTCACGTTCACGTCCACGTGCACGTCCACGTCCACGTTCACGTTCACGTCCACGTTCACGTCCACGTCCACGTCCACGTTCACGTCCACGTCCACGTTCACGTTCACGTTCACGTTCACGTTCACGTCCACGTCCATGTCCACGTTCACGTCCACGTCCACGTGCACGTCCACGTCCACGTCCACGTCCACGTCCACGTCCACGACCACGTCCACGTCCACGTCCACGTCCACGTCCACGACCACGTCCACGTCCACGTCCACGTATCAATGTTCACGTCCACGTCCACGTCCACAACCACGTCCACGACCACGTCAACGCCCACGTCCACGTCCACGTCCACGTCCACGTCCACGTCCACGCCCACGTCAACGCCCACGTCCACGTCCACGTCCACGTCCACGTCCATGTCCACGACCACGTCCACGTCCACGTCCACGTCCATGTCCACGTCCACGTCCACGTCAACGTCCACGTCCACGTCCATGTCCACGTCCACGACCACGTCCATGACCACGACCACGTCCACGTCAAGGTCCACGACCATGTCTACGTCCACGTCCACGTCCACGACCATGTCCACGTCCACGTCCACGTCCACGTCCACGTATCAATGTTCACGTCCACGTCCACGTCCACGTCCGCGTCCACGTCCACGTCCATGTCCACGACCACGTCCACGACCACGTCCACGTCCACGTCCACGTCCACGTTCACGTCCACGTTCACGTTCACGTCCACGTGCACATCCACGTCCACGTTCACGTTCACGTCCACGTTCACGTCCACGTCCACGTTCACGTTCACGTTCACGTTCACGTCCACGTTCACGTTCACGTCCACGTTCACGTCCACGTCCACGTTCACGTCCATGTCCACGTTCACGTTCACGTTCACGTCCACGTGCACGTCCATGTCCACGACCACGTCCACGTCCACGTCCACGACCACGTCCACGTCCGCGTCCACGTATCAATGTTCACGTCCACGTCCACGTCCACGTCCCCGTCCACGTTCACGTTCACGTCCATGTCCACGTCCACGTCTGTGTCCACGTCCGCGTCCACGTCCGCGTCCACGTCCCCGTCCACGTCCGCGTCCACGTCAGTCCACGTCCAAGTCCTCCACGTCCAAGTCCTCCACGTCCACGACCACGTCCACGTCCACGTCCACGACCACGTCCACGACCACGTCCACGTCCACGACCACGTCCACGACCACGTCCACGTCCACGACCACGTCTACAACCACGTCCACGTCCATGTCCACGTCCATGTCCACGTCCACGTCCAAGTCCTCCACGTCCAAGTCCTCCACGTCCACGACCACGTCCATGACCACGTCCACGTCCACGTCCACGTGCACGTCCACGTCCAAGTCCTCCACGTCCAAGTCCTCCACGTCCATGACCACGTCCACGACCACGTCCACGTCCACGTCCATGTCCACGTCCACGTCCACGACCACGTCCACGTCCACGTCCACGACCACGTCCACGTCCACGACCACGTCCACGACCACGTCCACGTCCACGTCCACGTCCATATCCACGTCCATGTCCACGTCCACGTCCACGTCCATGTCCACGACCACGTCCACGTCCACCTCCACGTCCAAGTCAACGACCACGTCAACGTCCACGTCTACGTCCATGTCCACGTCCACGTCCACGTCCATGTCCACAACCACGTTCACGTCCACGTCCACGTCCACGTCCATGTCCACGTCAACGTCCACGTCCACGTCCACGTCCACGTCCACGTCCATGTCCATGTCCATGTCCACGTCAACGTCCACGTCCACGTCCACGTCCACGTCCACGTCCACGACCACGTTCACGTCCACGTCCACGTCCACGTCCACGACCACGACAATGTCCACGTCCACGTCCACGTCCACGTCCACGACTATGTCCACGTCCACGTCCACGTCCACGTCCACGTCCATGTCCACGTCCACGTCCACGTCCACGTACACGTCCATGTCTACGTCCATGTCCACGTCCACGTCCACGTCTACGTCCACGTCCACGTCCATGTCCACGTCCATGTCCACGTCCACGTCCACGTCCACGTCCATGTCCACGTCCATGTCCACGTCCATGTCCACGTCCACGTCCATGTCCACGTCCATGTCCACGTCCACGTCCACGTCCACGTCCAAGTCCACGTCCACGTCCATGTCCACGTCCATGTCCAAGTCCATGTCCACGTCCATGTCCACGTCCATGTCCAAGTCCATGTCCACATCCAAGTCCATGTCCATGTCCACGTCCATGTCCACGTCCAAGTCCTCCACGTCCACGTCCACGTCCACGTCCATGTCCACATCCACGTCCATGTCCACGTCCACGTTCACATCAATCCACATCCAAATCCTCCACGTCCAAGTTCTCCACGTCCACGTCCACGTCCATGTCCATGTCCACGTCCACGTCCAGGTCCACGTCCACGTCTACGTCCATGTCCAGGAGCTTGCCTCGTCCAAGAGCTTGCCTTGTCCAAGAGCTTGCGAGGTCCAGGAGCTTGTCTGGTCTAGAAGCTCGCCTGGTCCAAGAGCTTGCCTGGTCGAGGAGCGTGCCTGGTTCAGGAGCTTGCCTTTTCCACGAGCGTGCCTTGTCCAGGAGCTTGCCTTGTCCAGGAGCTTTCTTGGTCCGTGAGCTTGCCTGGTCCAGGAGCTTGCGAGGTCCAGGAGCTTGCCTGGTCCAAGAGCTTGCCTGGTCCAAGAGCTTGCGTGGTCCAGGAGCTTGCCTGGTCCAAGAGCTTGCCTGGTCTAGGAGCTTGCCTGGTCCAGGAGCTTGCCTGGTCTAGGATCTTGCCTGGTCCAAGAGCTTGGGTGGTCCACGAGCTTGCCTGGTCTAGGAGTTTGCCTGGTACAGGAGCTTGCCTGGTCCTGGAGCGTGCCTAGTCTACGAGTTTGCCTGGTCCAGAAGCTTGCCTGGTCTAGGAGCTTGCATGGTCCAGGAGCGTGCCTGGTCCAGGTGCTTGCTTGGTCCAGGAGCTATCCTGGTCCAGGAGCTTGCCTGGTCCAGGAGCTTGCCTGTTCGAGGAGCGTGCCTGGTCCAAGAGCTTGCCTGGTCCAAGAGCGTGCATAGTCCACGAGCGTGCCTGGTCCATGAACTTGCCTGGTCCAGGAGCTTGCCTAGTCAAGGAGCTTGCCCCGTCCAGGAGCTTGCCTGGTCCAAGAGCTTGCATGGTTCAGGAGCTCGTCTGGTCTAGGAGCTTGCCTGGTCCAGGAGCTTGTCTGGTCCAGGTTCGTGCCTGGTCCACGAGTTTGCCTGGTCCAGAAGCTTGCCTGGTCCAGGAGCTTGCCTGGTCTAAGAGCTTGCATGGTCCAGGAGCGTGCCTGGTCCAAGAGCTTGCCTGGTCCATGAGCTATCCTGGTCCAGGAGCTTGCCTGGTCCAGGAGATTGCCTGGTCCAAGAGCTTGCCTGTTCTAGGAGCGTGCCTGGTCCAAGAGCTTGCCTAGTCCAAGAGCGTGCATGGTCCACGAGCGTGCCTGGTCCAGGAGCTTGCCTCGTCCAGGAGCTTGCCTGGTCAAGGAGCTTGCCTGGTCCAGGAGCTTGCCTGGTCCAGGAGCTTGCCTGGTCCACGAGACTGCCTGGTCCAAGAGCTTACCTCGTCCAGGAGCGTGCACGGTCCACGAGCGTGCCTGGTCCAGGAGTTTGCCTGGTCCAGGAGCTTGCGTGGTCCAATAGCTTGCTTGGTCCAGAAGCCTGCCTGGTCCAAGAGCTTGCCTGGTCTAGGAGTGTGCCTGTTCCAAGAGCTTGCATGATCCAGGAGCTTGCGTGGTCGAGGAGCTTGCCTGGTCCAGGAGCTTGCCTGGTCCAGGAGCTTGCATGGACCAAGAGCTTGCCTGGTCCAAGAGCTTGCGTGGTCCAGGAGCTTGCGTGGTCCAGGAGCTTGCCTGGTCTAGGAGCTTGCCTGGTCCACGAGCTTGCCTCGTCTAGGAGCGTGCCAGGTCCAGGAGTTTGCCTGGTCCAGAAGCTTGCCTGGTCCAGGAGCTTGCATGCTCCAGGAGCGTGCCTGGTCCAGGAGCTTGCCTGGTCCAGGAGCTATCCTGGTCCAGGAGCTTGCCTGGTCCAGGAGCTTGCCTGGTCCAGGAGCTTGCCTCTTCCACGAGCATTCCTAGTCCAGGAGCTTGCCTTGTCTAGGAGCTTTCTTGGTCCGTTAGCTTGCCTCGTACAGGAGCTTGCTTAGTCCAGGAGATTTCCTGGTCCAAGAGCTTGCCTGGTCCAGTAGCTTGCCTGGTCCAACAGCTTGCCTGGTCCAGGAGCTTGCGTGGTCCAATAGCTTGCTTGGTCCAGAGGTCCAAGAGCTTGCCAGGTCCACGAGCGTGCCTGGTCCAAGAGCTTGCGTGGTCCAGGAGCTTGCGTGGTCCAGGAGCTTGCCTGGTCCAAGAGCTTGCCTGGTCCAGGAGCTTTGCATGGTCCAAGAGCTTGCCTGGTCCAAGAGCTTACGTGGACCAGGAGCTTGCCTGGTCAAGGAGCTTGCCTGGTCTAGGAGCTTGCCTGGTCCAGGAGCTTGCCTGGTCCAGGAGCGTGCCTGATCCACGAGTTTGCCTGGTCCAGAAGCTTGCCTGGTCTAGGAGCTTGCCTAGTCTAGCAGCTTGCATGGTCCAGGAGCTTGCCTGGTCCAGGAGCTTGCCTGGTCTAGGAGCTATCCTGGTCCAGGAGCTTGCCTGGTCCAGGAGCTTGCCTGATCCACGAGCGTGCCTGGTCCTGGAGCTTGCCTTGTCCAAGAGCTTTCTTGGTCCGTTAGCTTGCCTCGTCCAGGAGCTTACCTGGTCTAGGAGCTTTCCTGGTGCAAGAGCTTGCCTGGTCCAGGAGCTTGCTTGGTCTAGGAGCTTGCCTACTCCCGGAGCATGCCTGATCCACGAGCTTTCCTGGTCCAAGAGCGTGCCTGGACTAGGAGTGTGCCTGGTCGACGAGCGAGCCTGGTCCAGGAGCTTGCCTGGTCCCGGAGCTTACGTGGTCCAGGAGCTTGCCTGGTCCGGAAGCTTGCCTGGTCCAGGAGCTTGCCTGGTCTATGAGCCTGCCTGGTCTACGAGCCTGCCTGGTCCAAGGGCTTGCCTGGTCCAGGAGCATGCATGGTCCACAAGCGTGCCTGGTCGAGGAGCTTGCGTGGTCCAGGAGCTTGCCTGGTCCAGGAGCTTCCCTGGTCCAAAAGCTTGCTTGGTGCAGAAGCTTGCCTGGTCCAAGAGCTTGCCTAGTCCAATAGCTTGCCTTGTCAAGGAGCTTGCGTGGTCCAGGGGCTTGTCTGGTCCAAGAGCTTGCGTTCAGGAGCTTGCGTGGTTCAGGAGCTTGCCTGGTCCAGGAGCTTGCCTGGTCAAGGAGCTTGCCTGGTCCAGGAGCTTGCCTGGTCCAGGAGCTTGCCTGGTCCACGAGCCTGCCTGGTTCAAGAGCTTGCCTGTTCCAGGAGCGTGCATGGTCCACGAGAGTGCCTGGTCGCAGGAGCTTGCCTAGTCCAGGAGCTTGCCTGGTCCAAGAGCTTGCCTGGTCCAAGAGCTTGCTTGGTCCAGAAGCCTGCCTGGTCCAAGAGCTTGCCAGGTCGAGGAGCGTGCCTGGTCCAAGAGCTTGCGTTGTCCAGGAGCTTGCGTGTTCCAGGAGCTTGCCTGGTCTAGGAGCTTGCCTGGTCCAAGAGCTTGCCCAGTCCAAGTGCTTGCGTGGTCCACGAGCTTGCCTGGTCCAGGAGCTTGCCTGGTCTAGGAGCTTGCCTGGTCCGGGAGCTTGCGTGGTCCAGGAGCATGTCTGGTCCACAAGCTTGCCTGGTCTGGAGGCTTGCCTAGTCCAGGAGCTTGCCTTGTCTAGGAGCTTGCATGGTCTAGGAGCGTGCCTGGTCCAGGATCTTGCGTGGTCCAGGAGCTATCCTGGTCCAAGAGCTTGCCTGGTCCAGGAGCTTGCCTGGTCCTGGAGAATGCATGTTCGAGGAGCTTGCCTGGTCCTGGAGCTTGCCCGGTCGAAGATCTTGCTTGGTCCAAGAGCGTGCCTGGTCCAAGAGCTTGCCTGGTCCTGAAGTTTTCCTCGTCCATAAGCTTGCCTGGTCCACGAGCTTGCGTGGTCCAGGAGCTCTGGTCCACGAGCTTGCCTGGTCCAAGAGCTTGCCTGATCCAGGAGCGTGCCTAGTCCACGAGCTTGCCTGGTCCACGAGCTTGCTTGGTCTAGGAGCTTGCCTGGTCCAGGAGCGTGCCTGGTCCACGAGCTTGCCTGGTCCAGGAGCTTGCCTGGTCCAAGAGCTTGCCTGGTCCACGAGCGTGCCTGGTCCAAGAGCTCGCTTGGGCTAGAAGCTTGCCTGGTCCAGGAGCTTGCCTGGTCCAGGAGCTTGCCTGGTCCAGGAGCATGCCTCGTCCAGGAGCTTGCCTGGTCCAGGAGCTTGCCTGGTCCAGGAGCATGCCTCGTCCAGGAGCATGCCTCATCCACGAGCTAGCCTGGTCCAAGAGCTTGCCTGGTCAAGGAGCTTGCCTCGTCCAGGAGCTTGCCTGGTCTGAGAGCGTGCCTGGTCCAGGAGCGTGCCTGGTCCAGGAGCTTGCCTGGTCCAGGAGCGTGCCTGGTCCACGAGCTTGCCTGGTCTAGGAGCTTGCCTCGTCCAGGAGCTTGCCTGGTCCAGGAGCTTGCCTGGTCTAGGAGGTGCCTGGTCCAGGAGGTGTGCCTGGTCCAGGAGCTTGCTTGTTCCAGAAGCTTGCCTGGTCCAAGAGCTTGCCTGGTTTAGGAGCGTGCCTAGTCCAAGAGCTTGCCTGGTCTAGGAGCTTGCCAAGTCAAGGAGCGTGCCTGGTCCAAGAGCTTGCCTGTTCAAGGAGCTTGCCTTGTCCAGGAGCTTGCCTGGTCCATGAGCTTGCATGGTCGAGGAGCTTGCCTGGTCCAGGAGCTTGCCTTGTCTAGGAGCTTGCCTGGTCCAAGAGCTTGCTTGGTCCAAGAGATTGCGTGGTCCACGAGCTTGCCTGGTCCAGGAGCTTGCCTGGTCCAGGAGCTTGCCAGGTCCAGGAGCTTGCTTGGTCCATGAGCTTGCCTGGTCCAGGAGCTTGCCTGGTCCAGGAGCGTGCCTGGTCCACGAGCTTGCCTGGTCCAAGATCTTGCCTGGTCCAGGAGCTTGCCTGGTCTATGAGCTTGCCTGGTCCAAGAGCTTGCATGGTCCAGGAGCGTGCCTGGTCCAAAAGCTTGCATGTTCCAAGAGCTTGCTTGGTCAAGGAGCTTGCCCGGTCCAAGAGCTTGCGTGGTCCAGGAGCGTGCCTGGTCCAAGAGCTTGCCTGGTCCAGAAGCTTGCGTGGTCCACGAGCTTGCCTGGTCCATGAGCTAGGTTGGTCCTGAAGCCTGCCTCGTCCAAGAGCTTGCCTGGTCCAATAGCGTGCCTGGTCTAAGAGCTTGCGTGGTCCACGAGCATGCCTGGTCCAGGAGCTTGCCTGGTCCAGGAGCTTGCCTTGTCCAGGAGCGTGCCTGGTCCATGAGCTTGCCTGGTCCAGGAGCTTGCC